TATATATATGTATATATTTCTGACCATATTATTTTCATATTATTTTGTTTGCAACGGAAAATAATGCGAAGCAACGAGCAATAATTTCCATAACGACGGTCAATATCGCGTACAAACTGTCAAACGCATTGCCTATTGCCTCCCACTCAGGGAAAGAAAAAGTTCGTTAAAAGTAAATTGATGACGTCACGTTTCACTTTCAATAACAACTTTGTGATTTTGTCTATTATCATAGTTAATTGATAAAAAAGCATAATAAAAATGTTAAATGCCTGCTGGAAGTCATGTCATGCAGTTGTCCCTTGTCTCACATGGCCGCCCTAAAAAAACACCGGCGTCAATCGCAACCGTTCAGGTGTTTCAGGGTTGATTTATCGTATAAAATAGTTAAAATAATAGGCCTACTGGTTGGAATGTAATAAGCCGCCGGGTGATGTGGTTGGTGTTGATGTACATGATAATGTGTAGCTAGTGTACAATTCTCGACACACAGTAAAGGAGTTTTACTTTGGTGGGGGTTGGAAAGCTCGAGCTTCGAATATTTTCGAATACCGGTACCTTATAGGCCTATTTGTTTATGGGAAGAACTGAGTTTGTTTAATTACTCTAAAAAAAGGTTTGTTTAATTATCTCTAAAAGGTTATAAATATCCCACCTCTAATTGTCCAAAAATAAAAGCTACATTCCATAAAAGTAGACAATTAAGTGATATTTTTCCTCTGGATTTTCTATTTGTATATTTTCCCCCATGATTAATACCGTACTTCATCTAATTTATTCAATATTGCGAATTATTCAAATATTAAATTTTATGAAGTTGCTCTCAATTAAATGTCTTAGAGTGATATTGAATATATATATATATTAAAGCTCCTCATTTAAAGACCTATAGGCCTATTAGATCCCCCATTTGTTTTGCCAAACCCGCTCCCCATACCACGCCAAGAATAAACATCCTCCTTTTTTGCAAATAATTATTTCTAACTTCCTTAAAATAGCCTAGGTCTAGTACTAGTTATAGACCACAATGTAAGTAACTGTGCAGACGAAGTCTAAAGACTGAATGTAGGCACTGTATTTATCCTCCCCAACAAGCTTCCCATAATATGGGCCATCCCCCAACCTTTTTCTCTGTCGTCCCTCTCTCACTACTGTCACTTCCACAGTTTTCTGGTTTACTGCTAGAAAATCGTTTTTCATGTGAACTCATAAAATGGCAGCTCATGTGCTGACGTCAAAGTCATGGTCCACAGTCGTGTCTATAATATCAAACTACGCACAGCGTCTGAACCGTTTTGATCTTGCCGCATAAGGTAACGGATCATATCAATCATTTTGTTTTTCATGCTACATGTTTTCTTAACAATGTAGGCCTACATAATATGTTTCCATACGCTATGTATATATAACAACGAATTAATTAAACTTGACCCTTGTATAAAATGTATAAGCACGCATACTTTGCGTGCGTTTTTCCAAGGTACCTCAAACGTAATTAACTGTAACGGTAATCACTGCACTATAGACACGTGAGTAACGAGGTAACATCAAAATCAAGACCAGTAGGCCTACATTTAGGCTGACTACTGTTTTCATTTCATGAGGAATGTATCTTAATTGTTTTTATGCATCGGTTACAATCAGTAGCCTTCTATTCATTTTCATTTTGCAAAGATATCACCTAAAAACCACACAATTTACTAAAGCAGAAAAAGGCACTCTCACAGTCAGCTCATCATCATTTTAGTATTATCATCATCATCATCATCATCATCATCATCGCTATTATTATTCTTATTATTAGTAGTAGTAGTAGTATAATTGTTGTTGTTACTGTTTCTGTTGTTATTACCATTGCTATTATTAACGCATACAGCAAACCATAAGTTATCAATTGTGCTCAGAACAGCCCACTAATCACGTCACGCAGACCACGTCATGTGGACCAACCTGCGCACGCAATGTTTTGGCTGGTCAGTATTCTCGCACGCCGCGTTGACGTGGATTACAGTTATGCAACATATTTATTTTGTTCATACCCTACCTGTGTGAACCCCGTCAACCTGATCGTTGACCTTACAGATTTATAGAATAATAAAAGGCACATCAAGGAAACGAGTATAGCGTTCATAAAAACGGCCTGGACAGGTGGTGGCGCATCTGACGAAGATCTACTCCATGTTGTTTGCTTGTTTTGAAAACTAAAGTTACCGATTTATTGTCATTGATTTATTGGTTAAGATTACTTTGCGGGAGTTAGACGCAAGTCATGTTATATAACTATAGCCATACAGTAGAACTGGAACTGCACAGATAGTTTCATTATTCAATTGTAGGTTTTTTACAATACAATAATCCTACTGTACTATATATTTCCATAACACACACAGATGTAGGCCTACAGTACCCTTAGGTGATACATAAAATAATACATGAGCGGCAAAAGTTTATTTTTGCAACCATTTTGTAGTAAACAGTATGTCTATATATATATATACCTATTTAAATATACTATAAATAAAAACTCTATTTCATTTTATATTTAGCACCTATTTCTACTTCTCGAATTTGTCTTCTATCTATTGAAACTAAGGTCGGGTTTTGTGTATTCATTGCAATCACTCCCTACTATTCGTGAACTACACGAACCTGCGCAGCTGCTGCGTGTTGTACTATCCCCAGGCTATCTACGATCTAATCACTTAACATTGGCAGCAAATCAAAACATGTTCTCTACCCTTCTCAATGAGTTCAGTCATAGATCGGATCTTTTGGATACGCCTTTAAGCTTTTTTTTTTTGAAATTTTCAAATACAATATCACCAGTATTGTACTGTCGGGGACCAGATCTACACACGCCAGGAAGAGAGAGACAGTTTAAAGAAATTGTACGTCTACTACGCTAAGGGCATTGAAACTCAAAGTCGCAGTACTCATCAAGTGAATTTTCCTCCTATCAGAGTGCCCCCTATTGTGGATCTGAACAAGGTGCCGTTTTGTATTGTAATGCGAGCATCTTTCCTGGTCATTATTATTTCAATTTCATTTAAAAGGTGCGTTGGTAGCAGTCGGTGGATAAGACTTTAGAGGACCACACGCAGGCCGGTGTATCGTCTGCTCGCTGCGCGAAACTCCTTCTCGCAACAGGTAGGCTAATTGTAGTTTTTGATATCTATCTATACAGCTAGCTGTTTTCATTTCCATGCAGATGTCTTCATAATGGCCTTCAGGTCGATTACTTTCTGAAGGTAGTTTGTAAAGTTCATATAATAAGTGTTCTTGGAAAATTATGATCAAAAATGATATGTGATGATCAAGATTGATCGAGAAATTTCCATTACACTCGACTTGAATTTCTCTGGATTAAATTAGAGTTCATTTATGAAATGTTCTACAGAGGAAGTTATGGGGGAAAACCTATTACAATATCAATCAATACGGTAGCTATGTTGCTCATGGCAGGCATTTTACTCATTTCTATCATTATGAACTGCCGGAATATGTAAACTGAATTGCAAATAAGAAATGCCGAGGTAAAATGAAGACGAGCATCGGTTTACCTGCTTATTTTCGACAATCGAATTATGATCACTAATCACGTGACTATGATTGGTGGCTATGAGCAGTGCCCTTATAAACTTTAGTTTCTCTGAAGAATGAGCTTTGATCTGCTCTGACCAGAGAGTATACCTTCTGACCAGGTAGGAGCTCTGGCGTACCATTTCAAGGGAAAAGTTGACATTTGGATTGGTTTAAAAACTAGTTATCTCTCTCTGAATTTCTCCTTCGTCCGAAAATGTCAGGGTGGGATCAGTGGAGGTGATTACAGGGGGTAGGAGGAATTCCCCTATCAAAATTTGAGTTGGTCGTTTCAGATCTCAGTGTGGTGGGTCACTTCACAGGAACATAATCATATAGGCCTACTTTAAACATTGTGGTACGGTACTACTGTATCTGGTATAATAATGGTTTAAAGAGAATCTTGAAATATGCTCGCCCGTAATTGATAGACTTATAGAGAGACATAGAATATGGAGAAACATTTATTAACTCTTAAAAATTTTAGGCCATGTAATTCTATATGGTCCATGAGTCCGAGGGCTTATATAGGCCTATACATTTCGTAATCGTATTATTGTGTTTTGTGGAATAATCATGTAGTTTGTGCTTTATGATTTTTACATCTAAACACTCATGGAATAAAACATGGAAATTAAGAGAGAGGGAGATTACGTTCATTCATTCATTTCCATTTATTGTCATTTGCATCGGAAAAAATACATACAAATTGTTTTTGCTCTGAGACACTATAAAATACAAAACTAAAAAAAAAAAATCCTACAGACTCAGTCATATCCCTCACGTATGATACCGTTAATTAGCGTCAAGTGCCTGGATGGCTGCTGGGGAGGCTGTTTCGGTACTTGCAGTGTTTTACGAGTAGATATAGGAGGGATAGCGCCTGCCACTACGTGACACTTCGAATGGAGAATGCGATTAAAACAAAATCCGTCTTTATGTAGCCTTACAGTACTTTATGCGACCCAAGTTATTATGGAGTGGAGTTGAATAGCCAGCTTGGTGAAAGATGCTTGCCTTCCAATCCCAGGGTCCTGGGTTTAATCCCTGTCAGTAGTTGCAGAATTGTTGAGACCAAAACAACTCATTGAGATTTAGTTTGTGTAAAGCATCGTGTGTGTATGTGTGTGTGTGTATGTTTGTATGTATTGTGTAAGGGATTGTCACCTAAAAGAAGGAATGTGATACATTAGTTATTGACAATCGTTGGTGCATGTGTTGTGTGCCTAAATATCACGGACATTGATCGAGTTCCTAGTCCACATATCAAGCGCCATGAGCATCTTACATTAGATGGATATGTGCGCTATATAAAACTACACTATTATTATTATTATTATTATTATTATTATTATTATTATTATTATTATTATTATTATTATTATTGTTTTTATCATTATTATTAATGTTGTAGTTGTTATATTATTCTTATTATTATTACACCCGCCAAGGAGGTTATGTATTCATTGCTGTTTGTCTACCTGTTTGTCCGATAGCAATATTACGCAAAAACTAATAAACTTTATCATAAAATTTAGTGGAATGGTACATAATAATCAAAGAAAGACACCCTTCAATTTTCGGAAGGAAAGGTCAAAGGTCAAGGTCACGGAAATTCGAGCATAATAGAAAATAATGGAATCTTCGCTCGTATTCAAACAGCACTCACGAAAACAATGTAAGTGAATACGACGGGCGATTCAATTATTTTCTTGTGGGTATTCTGCAGCACTAAAGAAAACAATGTGCCTCAATACAGCGGACGATTCCATTATTTCATTGAGTGTATGCTGCAGTTTCGCCCATCATGCATGGCCTGTTTATTGTTGGTGTATTCAGGCACAGGGCGAAGGTATAGACTCTATGGAGTGACTGCACTAGTTACCTCCACCATCGAAGTTGGCAGGAGGTTATGTTTTTGCCTGTTTGTTTATTTATTTATTTGTCTGTCGGCATATTTGTTGTGAACAGCCTACAGCCCATATTTTTTATCAGAAATTCATCAAACTTGGCCACAATGTTCCTTTATCTAAGATCTAGAACTGATTAAATTTTGAAGGGTCATGGTCAAAGGTCAAGGCGGCAATCAACGAAAAACTATTTTTTATTTATTTGTCTACAGCCCATAGTTTTAATCACAAACTTGTCAAACTTGGTCACAATGTTCTATGACCAAAGATCTCAAAGTATTTGAATGTTGAAGGGTAAGGTTTAAACTTCAAAGGAGGAGAATTATGATGTGGGCGGAGGTATGCATTCCCCATGTGCCCTCTAGTTGTTTTTGTTGTTGTAGTTCTTACTTATAATTTTATAAATTTGTTTCTTTACTGTTTACGTAATCGTTATCGCTGTAGTTATTATCATTATTATTTGTGTTGTTATTGCCATTATTATTATTATTATTATTATTATTATTATTATTATTATTATTATTATTATTATTATTATTATTATTATCACTCTGGATAGTCAAGTGCTACACAATTTATTTTGCCGTATAATATAATTCAAAAGATTTAATATTTTTACCAGGTTGTCCAACGATGGAATACACGAATAGAATATATATTTTCATTACATGTATAATTTATCCTTAATCATCAAATTAGCATTTACTCTAAAGCAACGACCTTTGAAATTTAATTGTGTTACACAGAGATAGAGAAAATTGCTTGAATTCACCTCAGCTTTTTGTCAAATGGACCTGTGCCAGTAAAATTCCGTCGTAGATTTAATTGATGCACCTCGGCTATTTTTATGCAGACGGAATATTACTGTCAAACGACGTCCCAGATACCTCTGAACGTCCAGAAGGTTCAAACCAACCTATCAGAAGATTCTCAGTTCAGGATGATTACTTTTTCATATAGAATATTATTGCGGTGTTAACAAAGGAATGACACGAACGCATGAGTTAATGTTTTTTCAAAAGGTGCTATTTACAAACTTACAAATGTTTATAGAGCTTACTTATAATATTTAAAGATATTAAGTTCATGTGAAATAAGTTGAAATGAAAGTGCTCACATCAATTAATAGTCGGCAATGTACTGGATTCAACACCAACCGTCTTAATTAAAACTAATACCTAAATGGAAACTGATCCAAGTATAAAGAATGAAAGACCTTGTAGTTTCGGAAATATTACCGTTTCTGAAATATTCGCTTAAAATATCTGAATACACGGAGAGACTTTATCAAAATATGACGCAGGCCGGAACTGCAGGCAATAATACACTGAAGTAATTTGTAACTGTATTGTTAAATCAATCTTTTTGCATGACGTTAGTATAAGTGAAATGTATTTGTCATGTTGTGGTAGACATTATTCAGGTAATACCAAATAAATGCTTTTTCTGCATTTTGTATAGGATAATCCATCATTAGAGTACTGTGTATCCCTGGATTAGGAATTTTGGATTAGGTTTCCGATTAAGCGTCTTGGCTCTTCCAATAGAACACCTGCGAGAGTGTACAGTGAAACAACGTATGATATTAATAAACTGTGATTTCTAGTTGGGTGTCATATTATTATTATTTTAGCACCGTACATCAAGGAAAAAGGAGAGGCATCTCAAAAGCTACATTACCGGTATTGAAGTAATCATAATTCAAATCTTCATCATCAGCATCATCATCTTCACCACCATCATCAATCACCATCCTTATTATTATTATTATTATTATTATTATTTTTTTTTTTTTTTTTTAGCTTTCCTTTATAAAATTGTGTTAATATATATGTAGTTTAACGGATTTTTTCATTTTGGGGGGTTGGGAAAGGGGGTTGGCATTAAGGAAATTTGTGCATTTAGATTTCTGAACTTTGTAATCCTCAGGGTATAGCCTACTTTTTAACGTCTGCAATTGTTTTTAGTTATGCCGTGACGGTCTCTCTGTGTTTGACCGTACGCGAAAACTGAATAAAAAATATAAAAGTAGAGTACGGTATATATAAAGTAGTGGTGGTGATATATGATGATGAGGAGGAGGAGGGGGATGATAAGGATAATGATGGTGATAATGATAAGGATAGTGAGGTTAATGACGATACTGAATGATGATGATAATGATATGCATAATACTGAATTTGATATTGATGGTGATGATTATAAATAATGATGATGATGAAACAGTGGGAATATATACAATATTGATGGTGGTGGTGATGACAATAATAACGATGTTGTTAATGAATGAATATGTTTGTGGTACTGAAGTTTAGCACTTTACCGGTCAAAATGCTCATAAGTTGTATCTTCAAACACATTTATTTTATATTACACCCATAGTCATTTCTTTGCATGCCATTTCCGTATTTCATTCTGGTACTTACGTTATCAAATTTTCCAAGAACATCGATAATCCTGGTCTTAAATATAAGCTATCAAAATGTCTTTAACACAGATTGTTGTTTACACTGACCAATTTCAATCATTAGGCCATTGTCATATGACAAAGTTTCACGTTCGATTGTCACCACTATCTTGTCATTATTATTTTGGTCCTCTGTGGGTCGATGATGTAATTTCTTCCCCAACAGGATTAGGCCTAAGGCAGCATTTTAG